CCCCCCAATTTTCTGCATTCCTTCTATTCTTGACTGCGTAGGTTTTATTTATTAAAAAAAAAAACCTTTAAAATAATCAAAATTATCCATTTTACACTTCAACAATGCTCTCACCTTATAATATAGTTTAAAGTCTGATACTGCTGAATCTACTTCCTTTACATCTTTTTTCCTGGTTTCTTTGAAGTTGCTGACCTTTTGTTCTTCTAAATTGACTTTGTTATTTTTTCTAACTCAGTAAGATAATTTTTTTTTACTTAATTGGGATGACATTGAATAAGTAGATTAGTTAGGGAAAACTGTCATTTTTCAAAATTATATTGGTTTTACCTACCCATGAACAATAAATATTACTTCAATTATTTAGATCTGCCTTTATTTGTATAAAACGTATTTTATGTTTATATTCATATAGTTCCTGTGTCTGTTTTGGGAGGTATACTCTCAGGTATTTTATATTGCCTAATTATTTTAAATTATCTACAATAATATTGTTGACACATAGCGTAGTTTCCCTATTCTTTTTTTATTAAATCTATTTTAGCTTTAACTTTGTCTGAGATCATGACTACTACCCTTGCTTTTTTTAACCTAATAAATTCTATTCCTGACTTTTATTTTATCTTTGTGTGTATCTCTCACACAATTTTATAGCAACATATTATTGAATTCAAATTTTTAATCTGCTATCAGTTTCCATTTTATGGGTAAATTCATTCCATTCATATTCTAAGCTATAATTACTTGCTGTGTTATTTTTCTCCTTATTTTTCTTAACTATCTTTTTTGGTTTTGTTTTTTTTTTTTTTTTGGTGAGGCAATCAGGGTAAGTGACTTGCCCAAGGTCACACAGCTAGTAAGTATCAAATGTCTGAGGCCTGATTTGAACTCAGGTCCTCCTGACTCCAAGGCTGGAGCTTTATCTACTGTGCCACCTAGCCGCCATTTTTTACTATTTTTCTCACCCTATTCCTATCTCTCCTCTGCTTTACTTCTACCCACTACCTTGCCCTCCTATTCCTTAACCTACCTACCCCTCCCAGGGTCCCTCCCTTATCTTCTCCCCTCACCTTATCCCCTTGCTCTCTTATTTCTTTCTGAATTTAGAAAACTTTTATACCCTTCTAGATATATATGTTGTTCTCTCTTTAACCCATTCCTAAGGAGAGTAAGGTTCCAGTACTACCCACCCTCCCCCTACTAGCTTCTTCTGTATCAGTTTTTCCTTTTACACATTTGTGTAAGATATGAGATTTGTATGAGATAATTACTCCTTTTTATCTCTCCCTACACAGTTTTATTTTTAGAATGACCCATCATCTCAGCTCAGCCTAAGACTTTCTTTCAAACTATTCACATAATAATGACAGTCATAAGAGTATTGATAATATTTTCACACATAAGAAGTAAACTATTTGGCCTTATTAAGTCCCTTATAAATGGTATTTAATGTTTACCTTATATTTCTCCTAGATAGCATATGTCAAATTTTTCCTTAAGTTCTACTGTTTTTTGTCACAATACCTGAAAGTCTTTCAGTTTGTTAAATGTCTATTTTTTTTTTCATTCAGGAGTATATTTAACTTTGCTGGGTAAGTTACCCTTAGTTGTAACCACAGATCTTTTGTTTTATGAAATATAGTATTCCAAGACCTATGGTCCTTCAATGTAGTAGCTGCTAGGTCTTGTGTAATCCTTATTGTAGCTCCATGACATTTAAATTGTTGTTTTTTTTTTCTTGTTGCTTCCAATACTTTCTCCTTAACCTGGGAGCTTTGGAATTTGGCTATGATATTCCTGTAACTTTTACTTCTGGGATCTCTTTCAGACAGTGATCAGTGGATTTTTTCTATTTCTGCTTTGCCTTCTTGTTCTAGAACTTCAGGGCATTTTTCCTTGACAATTTCTTGTAATTGTGTATCAAGATTTTTTTCTTCTCAATCATAATTTTCAGGCAGTCTGACTATTTTTATATTATTTCTCCACAATCTATTCTCTAGATTAGTTGTTTTTCTGATGAGATGTTTCACATTCTCTTCTATTTTTCATCCTTTAGATTTTGTTTTACTATTTCTGGGTGTCTTAGAATGTCATTGACTTCTACTGGCCCAATTGTAGTTTTCAAGGACTTATTTTCTTCCTTAAGTTTTTGATTCTCTTTTTCACAATGGCTGACTTTCTTTTCATAATTTTCTTGATTTTCATGGATTACTATTATTTTTTTTTCCTAATTTTTCCTTGATCTCTCCTATTTGATTTTTAAAGTCCTTTTTAAGTTCTTCCAAGAACTCTTTTTGTGCTTGGGGTCATTTGATGTTTCTCACTGAAAAAGAAGTGACTTTTTAAAGCTCCATTATCTTCCTCTGAATACGAACCCATATCTTCTCTATACCCACAGTACCTATCTATGCTTGGGTTCTTTCTCTTTTGCTTACTCATTTTTATTTATTTATTTTTATTTTATTTTGTTTGTGGCAGCTATTAGTGTAATCAAGTTCTCATCCTGAGGTATGTGGAATGATGCCCCAAGCCTCAGGTCCTTCTTACTGTTATTTTCTAAGGTCTGTCACAGGGCTCAACCTTGGGCTCTCTTCTCCACTTCTAGGCCACAGCTAGGGCCCCCAGCCACACTGTCCCGCAAATGATCTTGCTCCCTGTACGGTCCCTCTACTGGCTGTAAACTGTAGCTGTCCTCTCTCTACCCTGGAACTGAAACCAGAGACTCTGCTCTCTGGCAAGTGCCCACAGCCAGCCAGGTCCCTGCCCCGCTGCTATTGCATTCACCAGGCCCGTGCTAGCTCCTTCTCCCCCACAGTAGCAGCCCAGCCCAGAACACGCCAGGTCAGTACAGCTATGCGTGGCTTCCCTCACCAATGGAAGGTCCTTCAAACTTCTCCTACTCAGCAGTCAGATCTCCACACTGTCAGTGTGGAATTTCTAAGGCTGAGGCTGCCTCCAGATCCCAGCTGCCCCCAGAGCTTTTTTGTTGATTTGGCAGAGGTGGCCTAGAGGTGTTTATACTTCCTTAAGGCTAAACCTGCACCCTAGGAGGTCAGGTCTTTCCTGGGGTCTTCTCAAATTGTCTTAGGAGAACAATTGCCTTACCCTGGTGTTCAGTTCTGCTACTCTGATGTCAATGTACTGTATTTTTGGGGAAGAAATTTGAAGAGCCAAAAGTTTTCTGACCTACTCCACCATCTTCCCAGAATCCTCCCCCAAAAGTACATTTCACTTGAGCAGCTCAAAAATCTTTGCAGAAGATAAACTCCCTAGAGGGCAAGAACCAACTTTGTTTAACCCAATTCAACTGGTAATTTCTTAGCACCTGATAAAAACTAATCAGCATGGTAGGTGGCATTAGACAGGCAGCTCAGTGTAGTTGTTGATGTGTATCAGAATCCCTGTTGAAACTGGTCATCTATTAACAGTATTCTGATGTAACTTATTTCTGCAGATGAAATTCCAGATGAAAAGTTACCCCTGACTTATATTTTCATTCCCACCTGCATCATCATCTTGATTTTTGTGGCAGCCCTGATATTCCTCAGAAGACAACTCTGCCCGAAGGTCTCACACAGAACAGGTAAGCTCCATTGCCTATGTGGCCTATATGTCTACATAGCTTTGACTCATAATGAAAAAAGGGCTGAACTTTGCTGGAGTCAGGAAATCAGGCATTCAAATCTTGTCTCTGATCATTAATACCTGAGCAAGTCACGTCATCTCCTTGGGCTCAGCATCTTCATCAAACTCATTACTTGAGTTTGAACTACACAATCAGTAGGGACCTTTTTAGCTCTCTGTTCTAGGTCTCCATAAAACTTCTCTGATCTGTTGATTTTGATTTGATGTTCTCATAGTCTTTCCCCTAAACTAGTTGGTGCTGATCTTTGGTAAGCCGACACTTGTTTTCCTTTTTAAAAATTTTTTTTAATTGGGGGACTAGGGGAGGAATGTTCTATTCTTTCAAGCATGATTTTCTTGTTTTGCTCACTGTCTGATCCAAGGATATGTTAGTGTTTATGAGATCCAGATGTTAACAGAATAATTTTGCTGGCTCTGAGGACCATATTGGTCAGGGTTAGCCTTTCAGAGTGCATAGAGGCATATAGTCTTAGCATGGAAGGGACCTCAGTTGCTGTCTCCTCTGACCCTTACTAGCCTCCACTTGAAGACCTCCAGTAACAAAGAAGTCACTATTTCCTGAGGCAGTCCATTCACATTTATAGACAACTCTGATTCTTAAGAAATTTTTTTTCTTATTCTGAGCTAAAATCTACTTATGTGCAATGGCCACACATTATTCCCAGTTCTGCTGCTCTGAGGCCAAGCAAAAAAGTCAAATCCCTTTTCCAAGCATCAGAACTTAGGTCATCCAACTCCTGGTACAGTGATCCTTATAACAGAGATAAAGATCAAGCACCCTTCAGAATCCTTAGGGGTGACTCAGCCTTTTTGATTTTAATTTCCTTGCAGATTCATCTCTGACTCTCACCACTGTTAAGATTTCCTAGAAAATCCTTATAGATATCTCCCACCATAATTTGGGTCAAGTGTTTGGACATGGATAGAAATAAAAATGAAAAGGCACCCTGCATGGTCTTTCTTTTCTTTCATCCTGCTGGCCCCCTCACTTAACCCTGTCCCAGACTCCTGGACAAGGCAGGAAAAGAAAGTTCCTTTGAATAAAACCCTGCAAAATGGAAAACCAGACATGATGTCAATAGTATTCAATTCTGGAATTAGAGCAAAAGAACCTAGTTTCCAATTTCAGCTCTGCTGTGTCCCACCTTTGTGACCCTAGGCAAATCATTTCCCCTTCTTAGGACTCATTGCCCTCATCTTTAAGATTAAGTGGTTAGCCTAATGGTTCATTCTAGCTCTTTTTATTTCCTGGCTAGTAGATTTGGGTCCTGGATATTTGCCACCGGCTTTCATGAGAGGCCCCTGTCTGTAAATACAACAGGAGAGTTGGTAGGGTATGTCTGGTACTTTCCTAAACAATCTGTTTATCAGAACCAAGCTGGTCCCTCAAAAGGACCACAGTGCTGGTTCCCCATTCCAAAATAATGAGGGAAAACAATCTGTACTATCATATGATACTCCAATTGAGGAATTGTCTTTTTTTTTTTGCTTCTTTTTGTTTTATTAGCCTAGTCATTATTTCTATATTCATGTTCTTCATGAGATAAAACCCTGTCCTTTGTCCATTAGTTTGCTAATGACTGTAGTTACAAGGCTTTGGGGCAATGCACTAAGATCCACAGAACTGAGAGCTGGAAGGGATCTTCAGTCCCCACTACTTACTGTATGAAGTGCAGAGAACTGGGAGGGGCTAGAGAGGAGGAGGGGGAAAAAAAGGGCAAGAGAAATCTTTGTCTTAAAGAGGAAGAATTACAGGACAGCCCTACAGAGACCATACAGAACTTGCTTCCTCTTGGCACAGTTACATATCACTAGCTTTCCTCATCCCCCAAATTCTATCTCCCACCAACAAAAAAAAAAGATTTCAAAAACTCTACCTTACAATAAACAAGCACAGTCAAGCAAAACAAATCCACACATTGACTACGTCCAAGAATACACATTGTCCTTTTGTCAATTTTATCCATGATGAACTCTACTCCTTCATCTCTGGCTCAAGACCATAAGAGTTATTCTTCAACTTAGGAAGAAGCGACATAGGCTTTCATCCCTGAAGTCTTTGAAAAATATAATAATAATGATAACAATGATAATTACTATATCAGGTAACATGTATACAGCATTGCAAGTTTTGTAAAGTGCTTTCTATGTACACAGAATGGCCATGCAGTGTTTCCACTCCCTTTTCTCTCACCTATCCCCAAATTATCCATCATATGTAAGATATATGTATCTATGTAAGGTATCTATGTCTTCATCAATTGCCTAAATATAGAGATGCAGTTCATGGGAAGCATGGCTAGATCTCTCTAGAATCTGGTCCAGCCCTCTCTAACAGACTGTGATTTCTGCCTTGAGAGAATCAGAAGAAAGAACATGGCTGCATGCTTGTTCCTTCCCTTACTTATCTTCTAGAGTGGAATCAAGTTAGAATTATATTTCTCTTTCTCCCTCCCCCTCCCCACCCCTCCCAATATGTCTAGTGGTACAGTGTTTAGAGGTTCAGAAAAAAATCTCTTTTCTTCCGCGGGAAGGATAGCCCTCAGTTTATACTTGCCAGGTTAGTTCCTTCCCACCAAAATCTGGTTACACAAAGACGACCAGAAATAGCAAAACCAGCAAGCAGAAATTGGAGAAATTCTATAGATTAGAATATGCCAGAAAATACACAAATGAATGAGGTCTTCCGCAAGGAGTGAGAAAAGATCTCAGCTCAAACCATGAGAGATCCCAAACTCGTTTTTCACAAATAGAGTTGTGTACAAGTGGGAAAGGCTGCCTTGGGAGGTAGCAAGATCCCCCTGTCTCAAGGTCTTCGAGCAAAGGTTGTATGGCCACTTACTTGATGGGTAACCTAAATGGTGATTCTTCTTTAGTCATGGTTGGATTGGATACCTTCTGAGGTCCCTTCTGTGATTCTGCTCATTTGTCTTTGTATCCCCAAAGCCGTACTGTCAGTGCCTGGAACACAGTGATCAATTAATAAGTGCTGATTAGATTGAATTGGCAGGGTTGGTCTTATGCTCCTCAAAAAAGTCAGAGTAGATTGGTACCTACAAGTATGATTTCCAAAAGGCTGGGAATGTCTCCCTTTATATCATCTCTCACATTGAACACCAGAATTCTGGGGACCATAATTTGGGAAGTGTTGGACAAGACAATCTCTAAGATACTTTCCAACGCTAACATTATTCCATCATTATCATTATTATTATCATGTTTTGATTCTATATTTTTGTAAAATTCTGCTATTAGTAAATCTCTCCTTAGAGTTACTAATTCTTTTTACAAATGCAAATAACCTTGAGATGGTAAACACACTGTTATCTATCATTGACATCTTAGTTAATTTGTTGAATTAACTTAGTCAATATTTTCTTTTGTGACAAATGAAAGGATTATGGTATAAGGAGTAGAACTCTGGGCTTGGAATTAGGAAATCCAACTTCAAATCCTGCCCTCAAACACTTACTTAGCTGTGTGACCCTGGACAAATCATTTAACCTGTCGGTGCCTCAGTTTTGTTATCTGTAAAATGAGGAGGTTGGACTCCATAACCTCTAAGGTCCTCTCCAGTTCTAAATTTATGGTCTAATACCAGAGAGAAGGGAATTTTGAAGAGCAAGAAAGAAGGAGGGATGCTACTGGAGAAGCGGCAGTACCTAAGGAAGTCATTCTATCACAACAGTCAATGTTAAGACACTGGGAGAAGAAGGATACATGGAGAGAAGGATACATGAAAAGGAACTGAGAAAGAAGCAAAGGAAACCCTACTTGACAAGACTGCATAGGACTAGCTTTGAGAGCTGGGTTTCATCTGTGATCCCAAATCAGTGTGGATATTTTAAACTTTATTTATAAGCACTTCTTTTTTGGTACTGTCACAGATTAATGGAAAATAGAACTAGGAAGGATCTTAACAGTTATTTACTCCAGCTCTGTAATTTTTAAACAAGGATGCTGAAGCCCAAAAAGCTCTTGCTCCAGGTCCCATTGGTAATCAGTAGCAAAGTCAGGATTGACTTTGCTGAGACTCCAAATCCATTCTTTCCACTACACCCTACTACTCAACTCTTTAATTTCTTCTCCTGAAATTAAAATACTTTTTCTTCTTAGTAAGCGTATAACCTTGATTCTTTCTCTCTCCCAGACACAACAGACAAATCCATTGCCATGCTATAGAGGGAAGTGAACTTAACTATAAGTGGACACAATCTCTTTTTTTTCTTTTTTCACATCTTTTTCTCTGTCAACACAAATAGGGAAATACGCCGCTGTTCTAATAATGAACAATGGGAAATTGAACAGTTTTACACTGTAAATTGGACTTTCCTGCTATATGTAGCTGTTTGTTAGCCAAGACACTTTGTATCACGGAAGACCAGCTGTGGTTTAGTAGAGTCAACAGTGGATTTGGAGTCAGGACATTGTCCCAGCTGTTTACTAGCTATGTGATCTTGGGCAAGTGATTTAACTTTTCTATTTCTGGGTTGGCTACATGGGGATAGCCTCACAGGCTACCTCATAGGGTTGTGTGTGTGTATGTGTATGTGACTCAAATGAGATAAAATTCAAACTCTAAAATGCCATAGAAATGTCATGTCAGCTCTTGTTATCATTACACAGTCGCTCTAAGAGCAACAAGCAGTTATTGTTCAGCTCGGGGATTCATAGAAAGTCTTCCCTAGCTAGCAAGGATCTCATCTGTAGCACAGTAGCATCAATGTCAGTCAATAGTTAGAATCTTAGAGGTAGAAGGTGCCATAGAGACCTCTAGTCCACAACCCCCCGGCCCCATCATAAGATTATGGGCCAGTTTGAGCCAGATTGTGGAGGGCCTTGAATACTAGAATTAGTTGGCAATACATAGTTTATTCAATAAGCTGAGACAGTCACCTCATACCTTTTATTTTAAAGTGCTCTAATACATTTTCTCAT